CTGGCCTCTCCTCATGTCCACAGCCCTAACTGTGGTGGGAGTCTCAGGGCAAGGTGCCCTTGGTTCTGCCTGGCCCTGGATGGCCCTGGCCTCTCCTCATGTCCCTTTCATTTCTAGCCTCCAGCAGAGCTCTGTCCACTCGCCCCTCCCCAAATGCCACCCTCTCATCTTGCTGCTGAAGCATTGGGAGGGGTTGGGAGGGAAGAAACATCAGTGTGCTGTCTTAGTGGGCTTTGTGAGGTTTGTCCTTCCCCAAGCCCACGGTACTCTGAGAGCCTCGTCCACAGTTAGTCTTGATCACCACTAAATACCCAGCCAACAAGGACAAATGAGGCACAAAATAAATGGTTTTTTTTGGTCTTTCTTGAGTACTGGGATTAAGGCAATAAATGGGTTTTTTTTTGTTGTTATATAAGATTCTTTTTTTTAAAGATCATTCACAAAATATAGCAATAAATGTTTTTTTTTTTTAGATTTTATTTATTTATTATGTATACAACACTCTGCTTCCATGTATATCTGCACACCAGAAGAGGGCACCAGATCTCATAACAGATGGTTGTGAGCCACCATGTGGTTGCTGGGAATTGAACTCAGGACCTCTGGAAGAGCAGACAGCGCTCTTAACCTCTGAGCCATCTCTCCAGCAATAAATGGTTTTTAAGGTTACTTTTTACACAAATTCCTGATACACTGATAGGTCTCAAAACTTTGAATATGAAAACATTTTGAAGTTATAAAACTATATAAAATAAAATTATTAGTAATAGTAAAATATTCTACTAAAAGTCAAAATTTTTTCTTCCATATTTGCTGTAGTCACTTGGAGAAAACAAAAATGTGAAGTGTAATTAAGTGTAATTTTAAGTGTAATTAAGAAGTTATTGCTTACTAAAGTTAATGCAGAGAGAGAAGTATAGATCAAGATGCCACAACTTCCATTGTTAAGGCATTAACAACTTTAGTTACTTTTATTTTATGTGTATGAATGCCCAGCTTGCATTATGCCTGTGCACTATGTAAGACATTAGATGCCCTGGAACTGGAATTATAGATGCCATGAGCCACAGTGTGGGTGCTGGGAATCAAACCCAGGTCCTCTGGAAGAGCAGATAGGCTGCCAGGCACTGACACAACTAGACTGAGGTGACCTACTGTACATTTTAAAAGTTAAGGGGAAGCACCAGGGAGCCTTTCAGGTGAAGCCAGAGGCAGGGCACTAGGCAGTGTCTTGGCTGGGGAACAGTCAGCTAGATGTGTGCCAGGCAGGCACTGGGGAAGCAACAACCAGGAGTGAAATGACATGCAAAACACTCTGAAACCCAACAGAGGCCTGGAAATTCTTAGTCTCATCTCTGTCTAAATCCCAGAAACATGTACCTCAAAATCCAATAAAGTGACAATTATAGCCTTTCTACTAAGTCCACAAAATAAAATTATTGCTTTTCTAAAAATCACTTTAAAATAAAAAGATAAAATTTAGCAAGCACTTTTATTTGAAAGATTCAGGACATACCTCAAATAAGCAATCAAATATGATATGCTAGACCAATAAACTCCTTTGTGTCTTATGTGAAGCACTGTTTGCTTTGTATCTGATAAGGAAACAGACTTGCCTCCAAGTGTCTAGCAGTTTAATTTCAGATGGTGACAGATAGAGGTGGCTACTTAAACCACATGTACCTGCTATTCAGAATACTTGTTCTCTCTCTCTCTCTCTCTCTCTCTCTCTCTCTCTCTCTCTCTCTCTCTCTCTCTCTCTCTCTCTCTCTCTCTCTCTCTCTCTCTCTCTCTCTCTCTCTCTCTCTCTCTCTCTCTCTCTCTCTCTCTCTCTCTCTCTCTCTCACACACACACACACACACACACACACACACACAGACACACACCCCTGCATCAAGAAAAGAAGTACATGAAACATGGTTCAAACAGGGATCACAATGTGTCTTAGTCCTGTTCTCATGCCTGGCTACGTGAAACACTGGTCCATTTATGTTAGAAGCTTAAATCTTAATAGCTGCAAGCAGCATCAATCTGGAAATACTAAGACTAGCCTGTCCCCATTTTCAGAAAACAGTGAAACAACTATTTGGACTATTAAATAGATCGTGGTTATGCATCTCTCCTTACTCACCGGTGTCCAGGCAGGAAATGAAAGCTCGGAAACCTGCACTGTGGAAAGCTCACTGAGACGAGAGCCATTCTTAATGGACTTAATCTGATCTTCAAACTGAGACTGTGGATAGAAGGGAAATGTGAATTTTTTTCTAACCAATTCCAAAAGAAAACCACTGTTTCAATTAGTATTTTTTTTTTGTCAGATAATTCATATGACCAATAGTGTTCCAAGAAACATTAGTGTCATTAAAGCTTTAAGACAATCTTTCTACAAAAGTCAAACCATTTTACTGAGAGGCTGAATTGCTCAGTATGACCTGACCCTTGCCGGACAGGCCTCCTCAGCCTGCTGACCGCTAAAGCAAGACAGCTGTTTCTGAGGAAAGCGAGCTGGGGAAAGACCTCGTCATCTGGGCACTGGGAAGCCTCTTGTAATTTGTCCTGTCCCATCTCTTGGTGCTCAGAAGTGAGCCAGGGTGTTATTTGTGCTAAGCAAATGCTCTAAGATACTTAAGAAAATATCACTAATTTCATGAAAAATTCCTAGTAATTTCAACAACAAAAAAAACCAATGACAACAGTTTAAAAAAGGGAATGTTTAAAATATGACAGTATGGGGGTGAGGGAAGGGAGAGGGAGAAGGGACTTGAAACAAGCTTGTTCCCTAACTAGAACTAATAAATAAATTAAAAAAAAATATGACAGTAGTTTCCTGAGAATTGAAACCATCATAATGACTTTGGTGGAACTGTAACGAGGTTTCTATTTTACCTTTGTGCTCTCAATCTCCTCTCCTACATCAGAAAGAAACGATTCCCACTCCTGTGTGTCACTCTCCATGTCAGGATAGGAAGCAGACTCACTGGAAAATTTCAGAAATAGAAAACTGCTTAATATCCACTTCATAGACTGGAAAAATTAAAAGCATTTAAAGGCAAACAGAGGCCATGTGGTGGTGATGCACGCCTTTAATCCCAGCACTTGGGAGGCAGAGCCAGGTGGATCTCTGGGAGCACAAGGCCAGCCTGGTCTCCAGAGTGAGATCCAGGACAACCAGACCTACAGAGAAATCCTATCTAAAAAAAAAAAAAAAAAAAAAACAAACAAAAGGCAAACAGAAACAAACACACAGCACAAAGTATTTCTGAAACTGTAAATTCTGGAGCAGGTTAGGTAGTACATACTTTAGTCTTTTGCACTGGAGAAGCAGAGGCCTTAACCAAGGAGCTGTTTGTAACTGATCCCCAGTGTCGAAGAGAAAATGAGTTTTCTCAATGGAGTCTCACTGGGTATGGCAAACACACCTCAGGGAGGCCCCATGCCCGGGAGTAGCTGGCTAACACAAAATGCACTTTTGTTCTTGGACTTTTTGTTTCGTTTTGCTTTCCCCCCTCTCCCCTTTATTTTAGTCATAGTGGTCTCTTATTTGTTTTGATTTTCATCTTTTTTTCCTTTTTTTTTTAAGAGACAGAGAGAGAGAGAGAGAGAGAGAGAGAGAGAGAGAGAGAGAGAGAGAGAGAGAGTGCTGGGGAGATGGCTCAGAGGTTAAGAGCACTGGCTGCTCTTCTAATTTGTAAAGGACCTGGGTTTCACACAAGGTACCCTCTAGACAACTTACAAGTGTTAGTAACTCCAGTTCCAAGATAATCTGATGCCTTCTTCTGGATTCTTTGGGTGCTGTGTAAACATGGAAGACAGATATACATGCAGGCAAAACACCCATAAACACAAAATAAAAAAGAGGTGAGAAGGTTCCTGGAGGACTTGGGGGAGGGGAAAAACATGATCAAAATATATTTCAGTGATGGGGGAAGTCCTTCTGTGTATATGTTTCTCTTATTAGTTGATGAATAAAACACTGATTAGCCAGTAGAGGTGGGAAGATGGCTGGGGCTAGATGGAAGAGAATTCTGGGAAAGATAGGCAGAGAGAGACCTCGAGGAGACGCCATGTAGAGACCAGGGAGACAGGACGCCAGGCCTTCTCTGGTAAGATAAGGCCATGTAGAAATACATAGATTAGTAGTTATGGGTTAATAATTAAGAGAGAGCTAGCCAGAATGAAGCCCTAGCCATTGGCCAATAGTTTTATAATTAATATAGCGTCTGTGTGCTTATTTGGGGCTAATTGGCTGTGGGATCAGGCTGGACAGAAACTCCAGCAACATTTCAAGAACAACAAAAAATTTTTTCTTCAAGTGTTTCTAACTTTACTTCCCAAATGTAGGACAGGAAGAACACTCAGGAGGCCCCAGTACCTGTTCATCAGCTTGAGGTTTTTAAGATAGGTTTCTGCTTGTGTCGCCACACTCTGTAATTTATATACTTCTCGCTCCTTCCAGTTTTCAAGGACAGATACCTGTCAATGCATTATAGGATACATAAATATTTTAAAAATGAGAATCTGAAACTACTTGAAAAGTTTATGTTTAAGCATTAAAAACTTTCCCGTTTCTCTTTAGTATGACGGCAGCCACATGAGAACATGATTATGTTGTAATTTCATCAGGGGAACAGGAATGAAAAAGACATCAAAAACATCTACTTAGTGACATGAAACCTCATGACTCTCTGTATCTCACTACCAGCACAGAGCCAGGTTACCTGTGAGTACAGGGGAGGGTCTACAGTGCCCACCTCCAGCCACAGTGAGGACTCACACCTGGGGCATGCTTTCAGCTTTCCCTATAAGGGAACTGCTGTCATGGAAGAAATGCAGTGCAGGAGATACGAACAGCCTCATTTTAATCTGGTTCTCAATAACCTGCCCAGGGCCCTCCAGGCAAACCTGCTGCCAAGCAGCACAAAGCATGAGCTAAAGAGGCCAGGAAACCAGAGGCTGATAAGTGACTGGGAAGCCTGCTACTTCCACACGGGCAACCAACTCATTCCGTTTCTCTTGTCCCCAGAAAAACCACAGACACATGTGACAATAAACAGAGCTTGTTTCTCAAATACCGGAAATCACATTTTAGAAACAAACAAAAAAATAAAGGTGTTACACATAACCATTTCCTTTGTTTCAGTTTTTCAAATAGTATACCAACATTAATGTGCATTTCTCTAGGGGGACTGGAGAATACATATGTAAACATGCAGACACCCAAACACACACACATTTCGTTTTCTTTTGTATTTAGGGATAGGCTGGCCTTGAACCTGTGATTCCCTAATCTGCTACTTGGTGTATCTAAGACAGAATTACTAGTCACCAACACGGTGACTAGTGGTGGTTGACTTGTAATTTATTTTATTAAGTAGGTTCTCGTGTATGTGTGTACACACATGGAGGCCACAGGACAATCGCTGGTGTCATTTCTCAAGCTCATTCCACCTTTTGTTTGTGCATTTGTTTAAGACAAGGTCTTTCATTAGCCTGCAACTGGAAGCAGGAGAAGCGGCTTGCTAGTGAGCCCCAGATCCATCTGCCTCGGTCTTCCTAATGCCAGATTTTAAAAAGGGGGGATTTTAGGGATGGGACGCAGGTCCTTGTTGTTCAGTAAACACAAGCACTTTACCAGCAGAGACCTGGCGCTCCAGTCTGGGAGGGGGGCTTTTAATTTGCTTTTGAAGAACTGGTAAATATTGACAAACCTCATGGAAAGTCACTTGATTAAGTATGATGAAGATATTCCATGAAAAGCATGAGAAATAAGTAAATTATTATGTTATATAGGAAAAACAGTTATGAACTCTGAGATATATTGATGGCACATCTCTGCAACAAGCATAAACCAGATTTGGGGATGCATTAGAGGTGTGTCTGCAGCAAACATGAAGTCCCAATATTGAAAAGAAGGAATAAAAAATAAAAGTCCTTAGGCAAAGAAAAATAAGTTATTTTATTTAGAAATTAGATTATGGACGGTAGCCTGTTCCTTAATTTCCCAGTTTCTCTAACAGCATCATGCTCATGTGTAAAGAAACACAAGCAAACAAAGGGCCCTCTGCCCTTGCTGACCAGCATGTGTCCTGGACTCACCTCCGCGGCCACCGCTCTCTGATGGCTCTCCTCGTACTGCTCTTTCCCCTTCCGGATAGACTCTTCTATCGCCGTCTTCTCATCTGTGAGTGCAACACTGTGAACAACAGTAAAAGAAACCGGAGATCACAACGGTGTCAAATGTGAGCGGAGCTTTAAAGTCACCTCACGATTTCCCGGCGCACTGCTGCCTCATGCGCTACCACACGACTCACTCACTGTGTGCTCCGAAAAGGAGTGTCTGGAAGAAGTGTGGAGATCACATGAGGGCATCGAGTGTGTGTACATGTGTGTACATGTGTGTGCAAGTGTGTGTGTGTGTGTGTGTGTGTGTGTGTGTGAGCGAGAGAGAGAGAGAGAGAGAGAGAGAGAGAGAGAGAGAGAGCGTGTGTGAGCACGCATCCAGGCACAGGTGAAGGTGTGTGTCGGTGGAGGCCGGAGGTTAATTAACTCTGAGTGTGATGACTCAGGAGCCACCCACTTTGTTTTATTTGACACAGGACTCTGAGATGTGGATCTGACCAGTTGGGATACAGTGGCTGGTCTGTGAGATCCAGGGATCCTCCTGTGTGCACCTCCACAGCCCTGGTGTTACAGGTATGCATCACCACAGCCACGGTTTTGAGTGGATGCTGGGAGACAACTCAGGTCCTTACAAGGCACGCACTTGCCGACAGCCAGTTTCCTAGTCTCGTTCACTGGCTTTTAAGAATATAAGGAGTAGCATCTAGATAAATACGTAATTGTTCTCAAACGCCCTCTATATTTCAAGCAAGAAATTCCATCATGGACTAGTTATAAAAACAGGAAAAAGGTGATCAGTACAAAGCTGTTCATGGCATTTTCAGGGTTCTTTGCTGTACCCCTCCCGCCATCACTCTCCTTTTGTTTTCCCGTCAAACATATCTCACACTTCAAACTGTGAGATCTCTTTTCTCTCGTGGTTCCCGCTCTAGTTTTCATGACCTACAAAAAAACACACCATACCCTTCTTTATAAGCCTGGACTGTTTTGCTCACTGTGATCTCTGTTCCACCATGGCCGCACATTAAAATGTATTACAAGGAAGGCCGCTGAAGATGACGGGAACAGAAAAGATTATGCAGAATAGCATTACTCAAGCAAAGCAAAACACAACTGCTGATCCACAGTGTCCAGTATCAGAGATTAAAAGGGAACTCTAGAGTTCACAATGAAAACTAGTAACAAACCAACTCCACGCTGAGACTGGAGTCTCAGGAAGCACGAGAAGTCTTTTCTACAGGTTCCAGCCCCACTTCTGCATGTCAGGGAAGCACTTCCACTACTGAGCCACACTGTGCCTCAGAAGAGTGCTTCAAATGCATTTAGTTTCAAGCTAATTAAAGGGGGGTAAAAAAAAAAAAAAAAAAAAAAATAACAGGGGATGGAGAGATGGCTCAGAGGTTAAGAGCACAGACTGCTCTTCCAGAGGTCCTGAGTTCAATTCCCAGCAACCACATGGTGGCTCACAACCATCCCTTATGAGATCTGGTGCCCTCTTCTGGTGTGCAGATATACATGGAAGCAGAGTGTTGTATACATAATAAATAAATAAAATCTTAA